GAAAATCAAGCGTGGGCTATTTCCACCATGCGATCGACGAGATCACACGACTGAAACCATTCGCACGGGAGTGAGGATGAAACACATAAATCGAGAAAATGTCTATTTTTTTTATTTTTTTTTCGATCCCTGAAGCGGATCAAACTCGGGTTTGCATTTCAACAATCCGTGGTTGAGAGTCATGTGACTGATGTAATCATTAACATAAACCAAAAAAAAAAAAAAAAAAAAAAAACCTAAGGTTTTGTTGAATCCCTATGGATTCGAGTTTGGGTCTGTATCGCAACAGTCATCATACGACGAATGCGACTGTTAGCTCGTGCCAACATGAGGGGGGAAAAAAACAACGGAAAAGATACTACAAACGAAGCGTCATGTGGCAGCAACGGGCGCCCGTTTTCACTGACAACCCTAGGTACGCTGTCGAGCGCATCGGTCCGGCACCGCACCAGGGCAGCGCGGGACCCTCCCGGCCACGTCACGCAGGAGTTGATTTAAATCCTTCGTCGCAGACAATACATGTGGAGCTTCCTTAAGCCGCTCCGGCCGAGTGCACCAGCCATACCTCTCGCGAGCCCCTACGACAGGATAGGGCCTACTTGAGACACGACTTACCTACACCTTACGGGAGCTGTCACCTCCCTTCGCTGGACGTATCCCCGCCGACCTACCGGTCCACAGTACGAAAGCTAATCAGTTGCAATCGCAGAGGTGGACCAGCCGAGGGCGTTTCTCGTTCGCTGTAGCGTAAGGGGTACGCGCGGTAATACGCCTCTATCGGACCAGCACGCGAACCGACATCTTGGGGGGTTGAAGTCCCAAGCGCGGTCCGTCGTCGGTCGACTAGGACGCATCCCACACACCACGCGCACACCACTTTACGAACACAAAAATAAAACATACACACGCACACGTACAAAACGACACAACATAAACAACGCGACAACACTTTTAGCCCATCGGTAGCCGTCCCATAACTTTCCGACGCGAAATCGAATAGGCGCGCGCGGGACTTAGGATAAAACCGCGCGGACGCAGGGCCTACTCATATCGACTCGCAATGCAAGCGTACGCAAGCAGTCGCAATGATGGCGTACTATGTAGTGCCCATAATCAAGCGGTCCCTCGTGGATCCGAGTACCGCTTATGACACTCAAGTGTCAGACTTGAAGTGTCGTGAGGGCCTAACCCTTCACGACATTGCACGGCTGAAGGAATAGCCGTGCAACCACCGCAACACCTCCGGCTCTCGGCCTGAGTGTCTCGGTAGGCAAATCAAATAGGCTCTGCGCGAGGGAAAACCCCTCCCCTGCAGAGCCTAGGGCTTGGGGTGTCCTGGACAAGGACCTCGAATCCCGGCCCAGGACCAAATGTCCGACTAAGAAAAATCATCGAAAAGCAAGAACAAAAATAGAAGGAGAGACTTCCCCTAAGCCCCTAAGTCTCAGCTTCTGAGTAGGACTTTTGTATGGGGGCTCTTCAACCCATGCAAACATTCATCCAAAGTATACCCATGTATACATATATAAGGGTTAAGTATGTGATGATCACTTCTCACGCTCTCACTGGGGTCTCTCACAATAATACGTATATATGTGATCGTAGGCAACCAAATCCAGAGTCTGATTTACAGCACATACCTGCAATCACATCAATGAACCAAATCAACAGCCCGCACACTACACGGAGTCAACCCCAACCACCTTCAACACTCTTACCCCTCGCTTTACCCATGCAAACCCGAAACCTCCTGTCCAACCAACCTTAATTAAATACTCAGTACCTTTGTTAAACGACCATTCAAAAAAAGTCCGGGTGAAACCTTAATAAAATAACGAAATCACCAGTGCTAAAGCCTTTTAGGTTGAGTGTGGAGGGTGAGTTGAAATTGAGTCGTAAACCGACGAATCGGCAACCGACCTGTTATCAGTGATAACAGAAAGTGATCCTCAAGGGATCAAGCTGGATCTAGCCCTGAACTTGGATCAAATGATCAAAAAGACCTGTAACACACGACAGACCAATCCCCAAGCTAAGATCATAAGTGTATGGAGAATACAACTCCATAATACATCCTCTCTCAAAATCTCCTTATAAGTTAAACCTAAGTCTACTTTTAAACGAGTGCTTAAGCCAAAGGTAGACCAACTGCAGAATCTCCCCTATTCTGGGTGGATCGCCTGAATCTCCAATTGTCAAAATATAATCTATCTCCTCTAAATTAAGAAAATTTCGGCAGCGCTTCCCGTAGGAAAAGTGCCTTTTCAGAATTTATATAAGTTCAAGTATGAACGCAGGAACAATCTCTAAGTCTGGAAAGTCAAATTCTGTCTAATTTTCTGATTTAGTAGAAATTTGGGCAGCACTCCCTTTAGAAAGGGAGACTTCCCAGATTTATACTAAGTCAGATATAAAAGCAGAAATAATCTCCAACTCTGGAAAGTAAAATTTTGTCTAGCTCTCTGATTTAGTAKAAATTTGGGCAGCACTCCCTTTAGAAAGGGAGACTTCCCAGATTTATACTAAGTCAKATATAAAAGCAGAAATAATCTCYAACTCTGGAAAGTWAAATTTTGTCTAGCTCTCTGATTTAGTATAAATTTGGGCAGCACTCCCTTTAGAAAGGGAGACTTCCCAGATTTATACTAAGTCATATATAAAAGCAGAAATAATCTCTAACTCTGGAAAGTTAAATTTTGTCTAGCTCTCTGAATCAGTATAAATTTGGGCAGCACTCCCCTTAGAAAGGGAGACTTCACAAATTTATACTAAGTCAGATATGAACTCGAACAACAGTTCGAGCTCAACTTTAGACTGAATTTAACKAACTTCTTAATTTTGTAGAGATTTCGGCAACACTCCCTCTAGAAAAATGTTATTCCAAAATTTATACAAGGCTAAGTTCAGATTTTGAAAGTAACTTTGGCTTCCCACAGTTCAATTTTTGTTCAACTCCCTGAATTAACAAAAATTTGGGCAGCACGCCCTTTAGAAAAGGAGACTTCCCAGATTTTAACTAAGCCAGATATATGGAAAAAACAAGTTAAACTCTGATAAGTCAAAAGTTGACTAACTTCTTGGATTTGTAGAAATTTCGGCAGCGCTTCCCGTAGGAAAAGTAGCTTGTCAAGATTTATACAAGGCCAAGTATAAGAAAAAAATTCAGAAAATACAGGAATTGACCTAAGTTAAAAAAAGTTATTACAGAAAATGCAAGAATTGACACTAACTCCTATGGCTCTAGCAGGTGGCGAGCAACTAAAGCAAATACCCACCAACCTGAGACTCAGACCAAGTAGTAACCTCACTCAGTCACATGCAAACCAAACCACAAAGGTAAGTACTCTCACCAACCCAAGTTTATTTCATATAGATAGTTCGTGAATGTTTTTAAGTTCTTCAACCCTTATTTCCCTCTTACATAAGACATAAAGCTGGACCATTCGCCATGGAAACAATGCCCAACTTGCCTTTAAGATATACACGAACAGGTTGCACAACTATTTCTCTCTTCTTTTGGGCATATCAGTAGGCCATTCGCCATGGAAATAATGCCTAGTCGCACTGAGCTGTTTAATATCCAAAGTTTAGTATTTCTCTGATTTTGTTTTCAAAGGAAAAGGCAAATATGGGTAGGTGACTGAACCATTTACAACAGAAACAATGTTCAGCTCGCCCAAACTATTTACATTTATACTTTGTATTTTTCCTTTTCCCTTCTTAATGATATGGCTTAACGCTGGACCATTCACAGTAGAAACAATGCCCAACTGCCAGTTCACATGCAATATATACATAAAGTACTTTCCCTTATACTCAATTTACTTTATGTGTGTGGTTTTCAGGCTAAACCATTCACCATGGAAACAATGCTTAGCCTTAGACAAAAAATTCTCCCTCAGAATAAACAAGAATTTAAACCCCTTCAATCAGGCAAACCCTCAGAGTTAACTAGGGTAGCCAGGCCATTCACAGTAGAAACAATGCCTGGTTCCCCAGAAAACAATCAAATAAACACAATGACCAGGCCATTCATGGTAGAAACAATGCCTGGCCCTTCAGAAAACAGCCAAATAAACATAGCCCTGAGCCATTCACAGTAGAAACAATGCTCAGGCTTTGGTTGACCCTTCCAAAAACATCCAAAACTACCTTCCTCCCATTTTCCCCCAGTTCATTCTTTAGTCTGCTTTCAATCAAAACAAAGTAGAAACTTTGGCTTCACCCTCACACGTTCTTTCCATTCAGTCTGATTAGGTCCTGAAGGAAAAAAAACAAAAAACACTAGTCACAGGGAGAAACTCATGCATACATCAATCATACTGCAGGGAGATAGGCAAACATGGGTAGTAGTGAATTATACAAAAGAAGTGGTTTACCTGAAGGTTCCCTGCCTCCACAACCTTGCCTAGGTTCCGGCAGGAGAAATATCTAAATGCGTCTCCAATTCCCTCAAGGGCCCCTCAGATGCTGGCGGCTCCTCCTGCGTGCGTGCTGGCGACCTCCTCAATCCACCTTCAGTAAACCGATGAAACTCCACTGGTCCCAACCCACACTCAGGGTGTGCCCTTCGCTCCTCAGCCTCTGGCTCAGTCTCCGGTTCCTCTTCTCTTCTGGCTAGGGCCTTCCGTCCTCCTCGAGATGGTGTCGCCTCCCTGGGCTCAGGGTCCCTCTGCCTCTGACTCCTCTGACGCCTCTCGACTCTGGGCTGAGGAGGCTCTGGTCGTCAAAAGGCCTCTCTCAGATGTGTCCTGCAGCTCTCCCAGTCCCGAGCCATGTCTCTGACCTGCTTAGCTAGTGCCCTCTCCGCCTTTCTGGTCCAGAGGGGTAACGTCCTCGCCCACTCATTTCTCGGTATACCCTGCCCCTGCATGAACCACTCGAAGGCAGGGATAAAGTCTGCCACATTTCCGATTTCCAGACGGATCGGCCTGCCATCTGGTCCCACAGGCAAGGGTCGCAACTCCTCCATCCTCGTCTCCACATCCTGCCTCGTCGTCGTCTCCGTACAAATCCGGGCAATGGGCTCCTCGAACCTGCCTGCTCCCCTCAATCTCTCAATCGCCTGGCCACGGTCCAACCCATACGCCTCGCATGCTCCCAGAAACTGTCCAGGAATAGCTCGACGTCCCCATCATCGTAGACCRGAGTACTCTCTCGATGGTGAGGCCCATGCCGCTCATATCCTCCTGATGCGCCCAACGGCCTCTGAGGCGGCCGTGTCCCCTTCCCTTCTCTTGGCATGGCTGTCTTCGTAAAGTCAGACCTGCACAACAGGCGAAGGAGACAACAGACCCACATTGGGGTAAGCAAACAGGTGATAATAAAAGCAAGCCCAGACCAGACCACACTCATACAACATGCATCCTACCTAACCTACACACCCTGCTACTTCTATTATAAAGGCAGTCAGGTCATCTCTCTTACCTCTTCTCTCGCCACAAATTTCTTCAGTCGCGTTCCAGATACCCAACCCTTCCACTCAGTCCCATTTAGCTCCTCAATCTGGTACGCTCCAAAATCTCCGACCCGTACGATCCGGTAGGGACCTAACCACCTCTTATCGAGTTTCCTGGACCACTGYTTTTCCAGCGATGAATCGTAGAGAAGCACGACATCCCCAACTACCAAGGGTACTTTTCTCACCCGTGCAGACTGATCCCATCGAGCCTTATCATCCAAACAGCTTCTCGCCACCTGATCAGACGCGTTCTGGATCCTTTCTTCTATTGCCCCTATCTTCCGTGCTCGAATATCGAGCAGTTCTTTGAATGACAGGCTAACTTCCAGATCCTGGCGCCTCCATGTCTTAAGAAAACTCTCGATAGGGAAGGTGGCGTGCCTTCCATACCACAGCGTCACCGGTGCATACTTGGTGGACCTTTTTACTGTAATGTTCTCGACAAAAAACGCCGCCCTTAGGTATYTTGGCCATTGATTAGGCCATCTTCGGTCCACTTAGCCAGGAGGCTCGTAATGGTACTGTGTCCTCTCTCCACGAGAGCATTTGCCTGGGGGTGTGCGGCCGTGGTGTAATTGGCTGCCAYACCATACCTTGATAACAGTTCTYGTACCTCCTGGCAGGTAAACTCCGATCCCCTGTCCATTACGAATTCCCTGACGAAAGGATAGCGCAGGTAATATTCCTCGATGCAGCTCACTAAGACTAACCCGGTCTTTGTGCGAATAGCATGCCCGTCTACGAAGCCAGACAGGTTATCGCGCGCATCGAAGATATAGTTATAGCCCTGATCCCCAAGCGACATAAACAGTAGATCGAGATGCACTACAACCCCCACCTCTCGCTCTAGCCTTGGATGCAGCGACTCTCCTTGCCTTAAACGGGATCTCTCCTGGCAGGGTACGCAAGATCGGCAGAACTTCCCGACCATGTCCATTATCCCATCCCAGTAGTACAACTCACTTATCTTGGCATACGTGGCTTGTACCCCTCGATGCCCTTCTGCAATGCCATCATGAAGCGCTGCTACAACGTCGATCTGACGATTCCTACCGCAGACGACTCTCCTGGGATTCCCCACTTCTCTTCTCACGAAAAGGTGGTCGTCTCGCACTAAGTAGCGCTGCAGCATCCTTTGAGCCTTATCGCTCGCATCCCTTAGCCGTATTTCGCAGGACAGAAGAAGCCCCAGCTCTAGGTAGATCCCGTCGTACTCCTCTGCATGAAAAACCTCCTTAATCTCCCCCTCCTCGAACTCGTCGTCCTGGCTCTCGGGGACTTCGTCCACATTCCCTGCCGGGTTCAACGAGCCTGACTGGTCGAGGCCTTCCTACAATAACGTGTTCACGAGGAGATACATTCCTCCCATCAGGTCCTCATGCCGTTCTACTTGGCCAGACCCTTCCTCAATCGTCCTCATATCCTCCATCAGGCTATGTGAGCTGGCCAGCGSTAACTCCATCATCCACTGAACATCTTTACCACCCCAAGGATCCTCTTCTTTAAAGGGTTTGAGGACTAGCTCGGCCCTCCTTTCATACCCATTCGGCGCTTGCCAGATAGGAAGGCTACACAGCTGGGCACTCGCGGCGACCACTTGTTGATGTGGAGACGAACATATCCTTCTTGATCCAGAAATTCATCAACTGGGGGCGTATTCTCCACTGCCTCCCCTTCCTGTTTATCCCAGTTGATCCGACTCAGCCCGTCCGCCCGGTTCTTACTACGAGGAATCCGTTCCAATTCGAAATTAAACATCCAGATGTACGTCAGCCATCTGACAACCGTCGGATCCGATGGAACGTAATTCCTTAGAGAGTAGGCCAAGGCGATCGGATCCACTCTCAAAATAAACCTCCTGCCGAAGATGTAGTTCCGGACGATTCGCAGACAGTGGAGGACAACAAAGGTCTCCCTCTTGAACTGAAAGTAGTTCCTCTCGGTCGTACAGAGGGTCCAGCTCTCAAAACGCAGGGGTCTTTCCTTTCCCTCCATGTCCGCCTGCATTAGAATTCCCCCTAAGGCAGTCGGCCCCGCATCTATTTCAACAATGAAGGGTCGTGTTTCCGTGGCATCATAATCTGGTGCTCCTAGCACCAACCCTCGTTCTCGAAATTCCTCCTTCATCCTAGCCACCACCTCTTCCTGTTTTTCACCTCATACCCAGTCCTAATCCTGACGGACTAACTTCCTCAGGTGCTCAGTCTTAGCGGCAAAGTTCTTGACGAAGSCCCTCCAAAATCCACACGTACCAAGGAAGCTCCTGACATCAGTTATTGAGTGGAACGGAACTGACCACTCAGTAATCTTGTCCGTCTTCTTCACATCCGGCCTTCGGCCCTTCTCGCTGCAGACGAACCCCAAGATAGTCGCTTCCCTCATGCAATGTCTGGATTTGGCCCCGCTCGCCGTGAGGTTATGCTCCTCGAGCAGGCTCAGGACTTTTTCGAGGTCCTGAATATGCTTCCAGACAAAGCGCCTCACCCCTGGCGAGACTTCGTCGCTTTCCTTCACTGYCGGCCCCTTCACCACCAAATCATCGATGTATGGCTGTGTGATATGGGAGCTGACTGACTGCATACCCCGAATCATGGCCCGTTGGACCATTGCTACCGCATTGGTCCACCCTTSCGGGGCCACGTTCATGTGGATTAGCCCTCGCRGCGTGTGCATASCCGTCACAGGCMTGTCCAGCGGGTAGACTGGGAACTGATCATATCCTGAGTAAAGGTCTATAAGTGAGATTATAGGTCTTCCAGCACAGGATTCCGACAGCGCGTCTGCATTGGGCAACCCTCCAGCATCCCGCGCGGTTACCGCATTCAGTCTTTGCAAATCTTGCACCTACCGCAGCGTCCCGTTAGGCTTGATAAAGCAGAACCACGGGGACGCATACGGTCCACTCGAATTATCGGCGACGTGCGTACGTATTTTGCCGTCGAGGTAATCCACCACCTTCCTTTCCTCGTCAGGATTGGGATATCGCGCCCCTCTCATATTCCAAGGCTCATGTGGCACGGTATGGATGCGGATCATAGGTATCTTGTCCACATCCAGCCTGCCACGCTCCTCGCCACTAAACGCATAGGCGCGATGTCTCCTCTTCATCAACTTCACCATCAACGTTCGCTCCTGAGGCAGTAGGAAGTCGAGTTCCCCTATAATCAACTTCCCCTCGTTCCCTTGGTTGATACGTCATGGCCCTGCTAGAGCACCTTCCCTCGTTCGTCGTATCAACCCTCGTTCCCTCTCGTAGTATGCTTCCTCATCTTCTGTAACGAGGATAGGAACCGGACGACACTTCTTATCTACCGTCTTGTACTGCATTTGGGAACCCTGCTTGGGCCGTCCCCTAAAAAAGGCCGACTCACAGATTGTGCTTGCGCTGATGCGGGGTTCCTTCCGCTGCCCGGGAGCCGATATACCAGCTCCAACCTTCCTGCCTCAGGGCATTCCAGAACCTGCTCCCTCAGAGCCTGGATGGCATYCGGATCTGCCATCTCATGCGCGGCCACCAAGTCCATGGCCTTCCCAACATCTGACAGGCTGAGAGGAAATGCTTCTACCCTCTCTCCTGCTTCGGGCTCTGCCTGGAGCCTCCGGCGCTCACCTCCCGACTCTTCAATCGTGAATGATCCTGGATTGGGCCGGTTCCTTGTACTCCTTGGCCCTGTATTCATGCAGGTAATTATCTCGTAATTCCCGCATGCAGGATCACCTAAGAGGAGGATTAACGTCCCGTCATGCTTATTGAATATCACGGTCTCCGTCCTGCTTAGGAAYGACCTCCTCARGAGGATTCCGTGATCCACGTCTGACATGATGAAGAAGCAAGCCCGGGCCTTCACCTTTCCAACCTCGAGAGTACATTCGAGGCTGTCCCACAAAATACTGCCTTGCAGCTGGCTCCATGCAGAATAGCGCAGTCAGAACGGTCTATATCCAGCCCGAATCTGATCGCGTCCGTCTCCCGGATGATGTTCATTTCCGCCCCGGTGTCCACCATTGCGGCGCACTTAGAACCCTTCACCACCAAATCCACCGTGCCGCAGGCCACGCACTTCCAATCCATCTTTGTGCCTGACTCCGCCCACTCTGCCTCCTTGGGCAGAATCGTGCCCAGATGGACGTTGGGCACCAAGCGCCGCGACAATCTCCCCTTCAGTTCATCGCGGAGTCGCGGGGCCGACGCTAGGATTTCCTTCAGAGTCATGAGGTCATTGTGCCCTTCTAGCAGCCGGTCGATCACTTTCTCCACGTCAAACCCCTCCTCCAATCGAACCGCATACTTCTTCCTTTTGGGCGGTCCRTCACGTATGACCGGCTCRGCTTCTCCCCTGGTCCCCTTTTTTCTCGCCCGCTGCTCCGCCCTCTGATCCTCTTCTCGGCGCAGCCTCTCGTCTTCTTCCTCTTCATCATCATCATCCTCCACTTCCACAGCCTCCTTCCTTTTTCCTGGCTCCTGCTCCCTCCTTGGAGGTTCTTGGCTGGCGCTGGCTCTGGTTTGATTTCTCGTTCGTGCTGTCTGCGTCAGCCGGGCCTGCGGAGTGAGGGGTCTCCCCATCATCTCTGATTGTGGGCATGATCCTACCATATTTACTTCGGGTCGCCCGGGCGCTGACTCCGGACCAGAGTCGTAGAGGAACACCTTGGGGATGCTAGACTTCCATTTCCTCACTTCCTCACAGAGRCCCACCAACTTCTGTTGGTACCTCCCCATCTTATYCAGCAGGTCCTCCATTTTCCCCAACAAGACGGATGGAGGTCCCATCCATTCTTCCTCATTCTCATCATCTGACTCAATGATTACGGACTCTTCTCTCTTACTCCCTCCTCGTAGCCCTTGAGTCACTTCCTCATCGCTCCCCACTTCCTCCACCCCAATCGGTGGTTCCCCTTTTTTCTGCCATAACCTGAATTCCTCTATCTCCACCGATGGTCCTTCCTTCTCCTGCCATAGCCTGAACATGGCAGGGGGTGGCGGCCCAGCTGCCGCACTTCGTTGGGCTTCCGCCCTCACTCCTCCAAGCCTTTTGTCAATGGCCTCCCCAAACTGATCGTAGATGTTCCCATCCATAGTGGAGGAAATCTGCCCGCTCCTCTCGTCTTCCCGTCTTATATTACAGGACCTTATGGTGTGGCCTTGCTCGTCACAATGTTGGCAGATGGCCGTCCTCCAGTCAAAACGGGGTCTTCCATACCCCTGACTTCCCTGATCCCCCTGGCCTTGATACCCCTGACCTTGGTACCCTTGGCCTTGGTATCCCTGGCCTTGATTCCCTTGGCCTTGGTACCCCTGGCCTTGGTACCCCTGACCTTGATTCCCTTGGCCTTGGTACCCCTGGCCTTGACCATTCCATTGCCTTCCTCTTCCGCCGCCATTCCTGCCTCGCCCCCTTCCTCCACCCCTCCCTCCGTTGCCTTGATTGCCCTGCCCTTGGTTCCCACCTCCAGCCACGCTTCCCTGTGAACTAGGGGCGGGTAACGGTAGCGGGGCCACAGGCTGGGCCTGGGCTGCGGGGTAGATGGGAGGCGGCATGCTCGTTTGCGGTCCGGCTACTGGTGGCGGGGTACCGCATGGTACAATTGCATTAATCACCGGCCARGGCCACTGTCCGTAGGAGGGCGCCCCTCCCTGCAAGGGGCCTATACTAGATGATGGAGCCGYCATATTTAAAGGGGTCGCTGTCAAGGCCTGAGGCGCCTCCGCTTTTCCTGATYCCTGTCCGCCCTGCGCCAAGTTACGCACGTTGCACTGGGCGTTCGTTAGGCGCTGCGGCACCGGCTCTTCCTCTTCCCAGAGTTCCTCCTGAACAGCCTCCTCTATCACCGGCTCCTTTCCTTTCACTTGGACAGCCGTTACTACCCTCCTTTGCACCACCGGCTCTGTCGCATACCCTAGCTGTGCTAATACGTCTGTAACAATCCTTGTTACTCTCGGGGTCCCAGAAGCGGTTGCATCTCTTTCCTTTCTTTTCTGCCTTTGCAGGCGTACCTGACGTTGCTCCACCTGGTCTAAACACCCAACTT